ACGATTACAGACAGGACTGGACCGTCCTTTTTGTAATTACAAATCGGCAATGCTCAGGACATCATCGCTCTCTGATGAACACTATGCGAGAAGGAAGCTCTTCGTCCATCGTGTATAAATTCTGGTGAGAAAATGTGATGATAATCAGTCTAAAAGATAAGGAGACATTCATGTCAGATTAAAAAAAATCAAATCATTTTTGAAATGAAATATTTTGGGGAGTAGCACAAAGTATTATGTTGCCACCTGAGTTACACTTTCACTAACACACTAACGTCATTTTGCTATTACGTTAGTGTGTTCACAGAGACCTGGCCGCTCGAAACATTTTGATTGGTAAAGGACTGGTCGCCAAGGTAGCAGATTTTGGATTGTCACGTGACATTTCACAGAACGGAGAGTATATCAAATGCACAGGGGTACACATATGTCATTTTATTTTCGTCAGTAGGCTATGGGGGTAGGATTTGGTTGTGTCACGATACTTATCCCTCCCCCCCTCCGTAGCACTCTGTGATAGTCTCATGATCCTTCTCATTAACAGTTAATTGGCAGTCATTTTCTTTAGCTCCTCCTCCCTTATACTCCCTTCTACTCTTTTGGCGATGACAGATACCCCCTCCATTACCCCTGAAAAACAATGTGCCCCCCAAAATCCTCCCTTTTTCCCTGAGTTTAGGTTGAAGTCTCACTGAGAATGCTGTGCTCTTTGCTGATTTTACAAAATCACAGGGACAGTTCCATGGCTGTGGATGTCAATGGAAAGTCTAAGGGGAACCAACACCACGATGTCTGATGTTTGAGTAATTTTCTAAATTTTCGATAGGGTTTTTATGGCTTAACTTGGTGTGTCACTGCTTGAATAACTTTTGTCGCGTTCCCGATGGCGCAGACACGTGGTGTTGTGTACCGGAGTTCGCCAGTTTAACCACAGTGATGAACTTTAGACAAGTAGGAGCATCAGACTCTTTATTCATTTAAGCTGGCAGTCTTTGTACAGCACAAGCGGTAAAAACTATAATACGGGTACATGAAAGTTCGATGTAACGTAAACGGAAAGGCTACGAATAAACGAATAGGGCGAAACTAGAAATGATAAAAATGAAGAATATTACAAGCGTAACTTACATCGGATCTTAACTCCAAGGTAGAAAACTCCTAAACTCCAAGCTTCAGGTAAAAACTCCTAAACTCCGTTTGGCTCCGAAATGGTTTCGCTTCAACGACCTAATAGTAGGGGAACTTAGTTGTTACACTTTGACGAAGGGGAAGTAGAAATGAATAATGCTTTGTGTAGCTAGCTTCGGGCGGATATTCGCTCGTCAAGGAATGGAAATCAAACAAAGCGCGCTAACAAATTTAACAAACAGTGATTGAAAGTTTCTTAGTGTCTTTGTGCTAAAAACGGAAGAGTTACGTAAGTAAAGGATCAGAGTTCATATCCGTAAACATGACAACTTTTCTAGAATTTATTAAAAATTATCATGGTTGTTTTCAAATTAAGACATGGTCTTTATGTTGATATAACAAATTTACAGTATACATTTTTCTCAGAAAGTTTATATAGGCAATTTCAGTAATTTAAGTTTTTGTTAAAAAAGTCCCGTATGGTCTGATGGTGACTATGAATCTAGACCTATTATTATTATTATTATTATGGCAGTTATACACATCTGGATACCAGATTAAAAAAAAACAAAAACAAATTAAAAACAAAAACAAATTAAAATCAAAAACAAAAAAACTCTAAAGCTAGGCAGCAAACCGTAGCTAACTCTGTGTATAAATCTACAGAAAATATGCTATTTAAAATGTCATACATAAACCAACATCAAATTCTATAAATAGTTAAAAGAAAATCGTATGAATGAATAAATAAACAAAGCCCTAAAAGTTGCTAATGTTGCGAGTATATTGTTCAGCTCAAGACCTTGAAAGATCTCGCATTCTGCTCCTAGCAAATCCCAAACACTACTGTTCAGCTTGGAGTAGCACCCAAAACATTGATTATAACGTTCACTTATTATTATTATTATTATTATTATTATTATTATTATTATCATTATTATCACTATTATTACTGTTATTATTATTTTTATGCGGCAGTATATACATCTGGATGCCCAGAATAAAAACAAAACTGTAGCTGTGGCTGCGCGATAAGCCGTGGCCAGCCACAGCGTCGACTAGTATATGAATATACAATTAGAAATATAAGTGAGTAAAATATTATTATTATAATGTTTGAATTTAACCTCAAGTCGTTGTGTTTTGAATCATTTATAGCTGGTCTCTCGGTGTGGTCCTGTTGGAAATCGTCACCCTCGGTGAGTTTCCGGGAAAAAGGGTGCACATTTCGCGCCATAGTGCTTATAAAGCACACTTCATTTCATTTTATCTGAAAATTGAATATCTTTTATCTATTAGATGATTATCAAAAAAACTTTAGATTAATTGAGGTCTGCTTTTTAAGAAAGTTCGGTTTTTTCTTAGAGTACACGTTTAAAAACTGTGGAACTTTATTTTATTTGTGATGAAATTTCCGCTGTAGGTAAGCGACCTTATGCTGGAGTTACAGGCATTGTGGAACTTTACACCATGTTGCATAGTGGTTTTAGACTCGAGAAACCACCGCACTGCTCTAAAATATTGTAAGTGATATTGACCACTTTCATAAATGGCTGCCGGATTAATATTCTTTTGTTTAAATTTAAATTAGCCTTTCTGCCCTCGCTTGAGATAATGTTTTCTTTTGAATTTTGTACTGGAGAACGAGGTCAGAAAGGCTAATTCAAATTTAACCAAAAGAATATTAATCTGGCNTCTTTCCAAGCCTTGGGGTAAACATCTTTTATTGTAAGTGGCTCCTGTGTGCTGTTTTCTCTAATCTTCTTTGAGTTCTTTCTTGCCTCTTGCAAAAGGTCTGTGCTGAGCATTTGGGTACATCCTTTCATTCTTTCTTTGTGAACTTCACTTGCTGCTTCTGTGGTACTGGTGTTGGTTTTTCTATTGTGCACAATGTTTTCAACAAATGTGATTGAGGCCTGTTTTGATAACTCTGACATGTTATCATTAAGATACAGTTGAGAAAGGTTGTACTCCCAATCTTTCAGCAAGAACATTC